GGCGTAGCTGTGCCCGTCATTGGCGTGAACGCGGTTCGCGTTCGTCTGCTCATCTTCGCGAAACTGCTGGAGGAAGAGGCGCTCGTAGAAGATGACGTCGCGCGCGTTCTTAACTTTCTGGCTCAGGAGGTCCAGAATGATCCACGCCTTGTATTCGCGGCTGATGCCGAGGTGGATCCCCCAGCGCGCACGGCTTTTGAACTTCCCGATGGTTGATGTTGGCGGGCGATACTGCAACATGCAGCCCCACACGCGAAGCATGGAGGTGTCGCCCTTGGTCCCCGTCCACTTCACGTGCGGGGAGAGGTTGCCGGTAATTGCGGTAGTTGACAGCAGGTTGTGCACCCGCACGGCGTGGTGCATCGCGTAGGTCCAGTAGATCGGCGGAAGCTTCGACTGCTTCATCAGCGTGCGCACCTTCGTCATGAGTGTGCGGTTGGTGCGCTCGGCTACTCCCTGCTGTTGGTGCGCATAGGGTAGAGAGATGTGGTGCTCGATCCCCTTTTGCGCAAGGTAGTCCTGCAGCTCTTTGCTCCTGAACTCCGCCGCTCCATCAAACTGCCAGATCTTCAATTTCTCCCCAGATTGCCGCTGCGCGTGCGCCAGCCACAGGCGGAACGCTTCGTATGCTCTGCTGCGTGCTTCCACGTTTGCGACCCATACGTAGCGTGTTCCGGCGTCGATGAAGGTGAGCGTATATAACTCATCGTCGATGCCGCAGTGTCCCACGTTGAGAAAGTCGCTGCAGACTTTCTCCAGTTTAGCGTAGCGGTTGGTGCCTGGGTCGAGCAGGGGGAACGGTTGATGGCTCAGCGCGGCTTCGGGGCAGACGGTGCAGTTGCGCGGGTGTGTTTCGCCTCGTACTTCGGTGTCGTCAGGGCGCATGAGTGCGCCAGGTGCGAACACGCCAGCTTCGATGCAGTTCTTCAGAGTCACGCGTGAGGGGTGACCTAGGCGCTGGTGCCAGATGGCGTCGTCATCGCGGAATCCGGAGGTGCGCATGTAGCGCGCGAATTTCTTCTGGGGGATCCTCTTCAGGTACTTGAGCAGGTGCTGCCGCTGCTTCTTTATCTTCTTCACCTTCTTCGTTTGAAGTCGTTAGCATCAGGGCAAGGAATTCCCTGTCGCGGATGATGGAATAGGGGATGTTGGTCTCAGGGATCGTGCCGAGGACGAATGTCGGTTCGCGCGGCTCAGGGTCAGGTCCGTAAATAGTGCGACTCGGAGTGGATGGTTCGTTGCCCCAATCGATGGTATCCCAGGGGTCGCGTTCCGGTTGCATATCGGGTGGAGGTAAGGCAGGTGCAGAGCGGCGTGGTGGGCGACCGAGAGGGACAATCGCAGGTTCTGCTGCTTCTTCAGCTTCCTCTTCCCCCCTTTGTTCCTCGCGGAAGGCTCCCCAGCCTTCGCCAGAAGTGCCCCAGCCGCCTGTCTCGCTGCTAGATGCGGCGCCCCATCCTCCAGTAGTGTCGGTGTTTGCTACGCCCCATCCACCAGTGTTGCCGCCAGTTGCAGCGCCCCACCCGCCAGTGTCGCTTGTTCCCCATCCGCAGGTGCTCCCCCACCCCCCTTCATTGGAGGCGCTCTCATCCTCATTCTCCCAGGCGAGCGTTCCGCGCGCCTCGGCGAGGCTTTTCTGCCGAATCTCCTCAGCTTCGCGTCGCGCCAGCGCCTCATCTTGTGCCACCGAGAGCTTCTTCTTCGAGTCGCGCCAGTGAGAGTATATCTCAGCTGCCTTTTCTTTGGTGTAGGGTCGCGGTGTCCCATGTGAGTCGAAGGTGCCAACGCCAACGCCGCGAAGCATCCCTTGGAGGTGTTGGGTTGCGGGTCCGGGGAGTGGGTGTTCCGGCGTGCCGAAGACGACGCAGGTCGCGGTTTCCAGCTCCAGGTTGGACAGTCCTTCCTCAGGCGGCGCGTCACGTTCTGCTTCGATAATGGCGGCAAGCCCGCGGCCGGCAATTGCGCTCGTCGATGATGTGGGCGTGTGGCAGTCCCTGCAGACACCATCTGGATCAGGATCGTGTAGCGCTAGCTCGTGCGGATGTGGGTGATGTGGCACCCATGGGCGCCCGTCAGGGTGCTTCCAATCCCGGCGATGAATGTGCTCGAAGCGCAGGGGGACAAGGTCAATCAGCTCCTGCGAATCGCCGCTGCAGTCGGGAATATCGAAGTCGAGAACGTACACTCCGTTCTCGGCGTGTGCTCGTCCGATCTGCTTGCGCATCTTGTTCGGCATCGTGAAGTGGAGCAGGATGTCGCGCGTCTCGGGGTCCATGAGTTGTGCCGCCGAGAGCAGGTTGAAGCGCAGGTTCTGCACAATCAACACGTCATTCAAGGTGATGTGCGTTCTGCTCCCATGTGCCTTGAGCACGACGATGCCTTGCGCGCTTGCGCGCAGCCGCGTGTTGTTTGCCACGGTGACATAGGTGACGGCGGGGGTGGCGACGGCGTTGGATATGTAACGCTCAGAGCCCACCATGTGCTGCCCGCAGCAGCTATCCAGGTACCACGTGTTGTAGCGCCTGTTGTCGTTACGCGTGAGCAGCGCCAGTCGCGGGGTAACGATGTGCGGAGTGTCAACTTTCGGGAACTGTTCGCGCGCGATCCAATCAATCGGTGCCGGCCGCATGTCAGGTACGAACGGGGGGCTTTCAAGCAGCGGGACTGGGAGGTTCCAGTCCTGATTGTCGTCGTCGTGACGCGTGCTGAACGGGTTGTTGTTCGAGAACGCTCCGATTGGGTGAAGTGCTGGCTCGGGTGACGGTGAGCGAGCGCGAGGACGGCGTGATCCGCTCGTCATTGTCATGTTTCCCATGACGTAGCGGACGGGGGCAGGCTGTTGCTGCTGCTGCTGATTCTGAACCGTTGGGTTCAGGTTGCGCGAGGGGGGTTGATACCCCGGGGCTGGACGCGAGTCGTTCCGTGCGTCTTGTCGGCCGGACTAGTTGCTCGGATTGGTCTGGCGAGGGCGAGATCAGGACTTGCATCGATTTGCCAAGTGCCCGAAGTTTCTGCAAATCTTGCAGTAAAGGCGCCGCGGCCGTCGCTCCTCTGTGTTGTCGGCGTAGAAGGCGAGGCGTTCCCTGTCTCGTCGCGGCGCTGGTCGCTGCTGGTCCATATCCCTTTGTTCGACGAGAAGGGCGGCGCAAAGGGCGGCCTCCGAGATGACCCCTTGCTGTCGGAGAAGCGCCTTGCAGGGCCGCCACTCTGGGCCGAGCCCTTGGAGCACAATGTTTACGAATATCTCCTCAGAGATTGTGCTCTCTAGTTTCGCGATTTGATCGCGTAAGCTCCGGCAGCGATTCAAGTAGCTGTTGGCCTTCTCTCATGGTGCCATTTTGGTCTCCAGTAGCTGCTGGAGCAGGCGGCTCGACGACACCGAGTCCTTTGGTTGATACACACCGTTCAGGTGGCGCCAAGCGTTGAGGGCTGGAGCAGGCGAAGTTTTGTATGAGCGAATGCTCAATTGCTCCGTCGGCGACATATTTCGCAGAAGAACCCCGTACGTCATCAGGGACTCGTTGTAGTACTTAGTTCTTGCGTCGTCAGTGTCCTCCGCAGGTCCCGAGTAGCTCCCGTCGAAGTAGTGAAAGATCTGCGCGTTTTGCAGCAGCAGCTCCAGCTCGAAGCTCCAAGTATAGAAGTCTCTGCCGTCAAAGCACACACTTGTCTTTATTTTTGATATGCTCAAAACCCTTGATTGCGTAGAGAGGATTGCTTCATCGCTGGGACAGGGAGTTTTGGGTGTTGAGCCATTTGTGTCGAGAGAGAAGGTGTGCGAGGCGGAATTCTGGCCATTCGAGGCCGGTTGAGTGGGTTGGGAGGATGTTCCCGCGTCGCCATTCCACAATGTTTGGAGCCCTTGCTCCAGAATTGTGAGTCGCTGAAGCAGTTGTGCGAGGACGGCGGAAGGGATCGTCGTCGTTTCCTCGCTCCTCGCAGCCGGATCGGGCTGCGCTTCAGCCGTCAGATTCGTCTGACCGCCAGATCCTCCGGCCATTCTCACACGCAAGCGTGTGCCGGACGCCACTTTCTGTTCGTCGAGAGTTTCGGAGGTGGCAGTGCGAAGGATTCGCGAGTCGCTCTCATACCATGCTGCGATCAGAAGTTGATCGAACTCAGGATCACCTCAGGAAGGTTCGCACACTACTGATTCTAGTGGTGGTGGGCCCTTGACCTCAATAGCAGAGTGAATGTAAATGCTTGAGATAATAAAACCATGCAAGTACAGCACTGTAAATAAGAGTACAGGGGAATACCAATCGACCTAGCTAGCCATGTACTCTGAGGGGTACATTCCCTTATTATAGCGAAACTCAACCGTGCGACTCCAGGTGGTTACGAAACTGTTCGGGCAAAATCCTCGCCACTGCTGCTGCCTGATGCTGTCTGCCCGACGGTCCAGATGCTTTCGTAACCGTATGACCCTTTGCATTGCTTCCGCCTTTTCGACTTCAACCTCGGTAGTGCGTGCTTCGCTTGCTGCGGTTAGGAGTGCACAGTGATGTTTCAATAATTACCATTCGTAACACTAAATATGCTGCTTTGCAAGAACCTGAAACTACACGTAGTTGCCCGTTCGTGTGCTTGAGAGGTAGAAAACACCCTGTAAAAGATGTTGTACCTAGTTATAGAATTTATGACAAGTTAAAATTGCATGTATACATTTCCAACTTTCACAATGCAGTCCCGTACGTTACGAGACCACGGTTTTGTTTGTTGCGTTACGGTCTGAAGCGGTTCGAGCACACCGTGTGGAAACCTTCAGAACTGCGCTAAACGCACAGCAAACACTCGGGAGGAGGAACCTTTTTCAAATTTCTTCATAGATCCTCCAGTGCTTCTTTCTCTTTCCTTTTTCCCGTTGTTTTCTGAGCTCACTCCTGCAGCACGTCTAACGATCCCAGATTCTTTGCTTGTTCGCAAGTCCTGGTTTCGCATAGTCTGCCTTGCAGTCTACAATCCTCGCGCATCTATTTGTCTTTTACTCGTTTAGAATCATGAGCGGAGACGAGAAGAAGATGGACCTTTCAGATATCGCTGCTGCTCTTCCTTCAGGTAGTCTTCCCGTTTTTTCTTTCCCGCCTTCTACCTTTTCGTGATGCTTTTGTAACACGTCTTGCCGATGTCGATCTAGGATTTTGTGCATCTGATCCGTCGAACGCGATCTGGTTTTGATCGTTCATTCCGTCGCGTGATTTTGTCACGCGACGTATTCATGATTTTATCTCCGTCCACGATCATTTAATCTTCGTCGTTGTCCTCAACGTAATTGCCGTCTTCTGCCGTACTTTCTGTTGTTTCAGGGGGAGCGGGGTTAACCGACGAAGCTCGCGCCGAATTGGTCAGCTCTATCCAGGTGAACGAAGTACCAAAAACTTTTAGATTCGTTGGAATTATATAGGAGTTTTAGGACGAATGAGAAATAACGAAGCTGATTGAGAAACATCGAAACGGGATGAGAAACACCCGATCTTGACACCGTCACACGATCATCGACGCAGGATTTTGGAATGGTGAGGAATGAGAAATGATAAAGAAAAACACCAGCCTTAGGGTTCACAAGCAAGGTTTTGTAGAAAATGGTTTCTGCTCGTTGATTATGCAAGACGTGATCGCGTCTCACCCATCTGATAGTTTCTTTCACGCGGCCTACTTTCGGCTACCTGGCCTGTATATCTGTTCTAACGTCTTGTTCTCTTCTCATCCGCGATTGCCATGGCAGGACAAACTGGAAACCCTCATGACGCAAAACTTCCTCGCCGGCCTGTCGCCAGCTGTGCGCACACGTGTCACGGCCCTACAGGATATCCAGGTACGGAACATCCTAGCGACTGAAGCGATCGATCGTTTCTTCGTTTGTCAGCCTCTCATACAGTTGTTCGTCTCGTTTTGGCTGTAACATGCGTCCTGGTGTCTATACATTTTTGTTCTGTTCCATTTTTTTTTTTCGTTGTGCATGCGATTCGTTTTTGGACGCCTTAGGTTCTGGATCCGCGTGTGACGCGGCAGCAATCGCGTGAGGTTTTGCAGGGAGGGTTTCGTGCTCTCAGAGAACTTATTGCTTTGGAAGCTCCGTCGAAGGCGAAACGGAAATAGAGGGCAATTCTCACGACGAGATCAGTCCGAAAGGAGATCACCTCTTCCGATCGCTGTGGTGGTGTCCCGTTGTTTCATCCTCAAACACTGTAAAACCCCAACTACTTACCGTTTCTTTGCTTTGTGCAGAAGGGAAAGTGCTTCGAGGAGAAGACCGAGCAATAATGTGAAGTCCCTCAAAGTGTTCATTCTCGCTCTCCGCCTCTTTCCCGCCGCCTCCTCCCCCCTCCCGACCCCTTCCCCTCCTTTTCCCCTGTCGTTTCTGTGCCGGGTGCAGAAATCGCGCGACGAGCTCAAGTAGAAGGCGGAACTGTGATGTGAAGTCCCTCGGGATGCTCCTTCATCGTCCCTCCGCCCTTTCCCCGTGTCCTCTCCCCCCTCTCACCCCCCCCTTCCCCCCCCCCCACCTCAGAAATCGCATGACGAGCTCAAGGAGAAGTTTTTGGAGGAGAAGGCGGCTCTGGAGGCCAAGTACCAGAAGCTGTACGAGCCGCTCTACAACCAGGTGGGGAATTACTCTATAACGCGTATCGTTTAGAGGGAGGCCAAGTACCCGAAGCTGTACGAGCCGCTGTAGAACTAGGTGAGGATAGATTGTTGTGCTGTTGCTCCCTATAACGTGTATCGTTTTAAGGTGCTTTAAAAGGTGGTTTTACAACCGAGTGGGAATAAGCGGTCGCGGCTGCTGCTCGTTGTAACGCGGATTGGTTTCGCCCATGAACCTCCTTCTGCTTGTGGGCCCCTCGCCCCTCCGTAAACCCTGACCCTTTGTAACCCCTCCCTCGGTAAACCCTGACCCTCTGTAGGCCTTCACCCGCTGTAAACCCTGCCCGTCGGTTATTTCTTACCCTCCGTCCGTAACTTCCTCACCATCTGTAGCCTCTAACCCTGGTTAACCTCTCATGCTCTTCAACCTCTCACATCCTCTAACCCTTCTCTCACCCTCGTTACCTCCAGCGCTCTGAGATTGTGGCGGGAGACAAGGAACCTGAAGGCGCTGAGCCCCCTGCTGTTGTTTCAGAATTCTTAAATGCGGCCCTCTGTAACCCTCACCCTTCGCAACCCCGAACCCTTTACAACCCCTCACCCTCCTTTCCTCCAGCGCTCTGAGATTGTCGCGGGAGACAAGGAGCCGGAAGGCGCTGAGCCCCCTGTGGCTGAGGCTGGAGCCGAGGTTGAGAAGGGTGAGTTGCGGTTGAGTGCGGTGCAGTGGGTTGAGGTGGGGTGCGTTGGGGTGGAAATGGTTTGAGGTTGGGAAGGGGCAGCTAACAGTGAGGCTCCAGCTGCCAAAGATGGAGCAGAGGGGTGGAGAAGATTTAGTTGGGGTTAAGTGCGGTCCAGTGGGGTAAGTGGAATATGTGTGATGGGGAAGGAAAGCAATGCGGTTTGTTATCTGTATTAATGTATACTTAATCTCATTTCGTCCTCTCTCTTATTCTTCTCCACCTTTCCCGTGCTGTTCTGTTTCGTCCTTGAGCTGTGCACCCCCCTGGGCCCTTGCTGTGCTTGAAATCCTGGCTTACTGCCATGAAGACGGATTGTGAGGCACCTCAAACTTCCTCCCTCCTCTCCCTTCCATTGGTCTCTTCCGTGCAAGGTTCAAAATTTCGGTTGGGGTAAAATACGCTCCGTTTAAAACGCTCGTTTTTTACGCTGTTTTTTCAAAATTTCGGCCGTTTTTTTGTTGGAGATTTTTGTGCCAAAAAAAAAAAAACAGAAAGGGTTCATAGATGATTCCAGAACAGGGCAGCATACAAACGGAAAGTAACATGCTAAAAACTAGTCAGAAATGAGCAAACACAGTCAGGTCCCTCCTCCTTCCTCCTAACTACCTACTCCTACTCCTTCTACCCCCTCTTACCTAGTCCTTATCCTTCAGCCCCCTCCTCTGATCTAGTCCTTACCCTTCAGCCCCCTCCACTTACCGATAAGTTATCCTTCAGCCCCCTCCTCCTACTTAGTCCTAATCCTCCTCCTCTTCCTCATCCTCCTCGTCATCCTCCTCCCCGCTACTCCCGTCGCTACAATCCCACGCATTCACCCCCTTGTTCTTCCGCTTGGTTGGTTCATCCGGACCACTGTCATCATCACTGCTCCCATCCTCCGCCTCTTCTTTCTCTTCCTCACAAACCTTCTCCTTCCCCTTGCGGGACCCGCTGCCCTTGGAAGCACTCTTCTTCTTCTTCAGATTTGCGCGCTTCCTTTTGGTCACCCGCTTGCCAATGTTCCCGAAGGTGTCCCAGTCAATGGTACACGGCTCCCCCCCCGCCTCCTCCTCCTCATCCACCTCCGCCTCCACCGGAAGAGAAAGAAGCACGCTTGTGCTGCCCTCCTGCAGCGATCCATTGCTCAACTCGCTGTAGAGCTTAGCACGGGCCTCTGTTTTTTTGTCATAGGACTCCCGAGCTCGCCGGCCAAATGCCACGAATGCCACGTCCGTCATGGACGTGGCATTCAGCCGGTTGCGGTCCCGCCTTTGGACCCTTGCGAGAGCGGACCAGTACCGCTCGACCTCGGATGAAGTCACGGGCTGGGAGAGCAACATCACCGCAATCTTTTGCAAAGCACGAACCTCACCCCCATACAGCGCCCACCACTCAGCCGCGGAGAGCCTCCCGCTCTCCACCAAGATGGTGGCAGCCCACCGCGCATCCACAGACCCCAACTTCCCCTCTCCCTTGTGAAAAGCGGCTAGTTGCACCGCTAGCATCGTCCGCATCTCAACACTGCCCCCCCTTGCCTTAAACACCTCTTCAGCCCCCGCCCTCAGTTCCGCATCCTCCCGAATCTCGCCTACGTACTGATTCTTCGGGTTTAGAAGCCACCCCAAGGCGTGGAGGGGGTTGTGCAGCTGTCCGTCCCATCGGTTGGCTATGATAGCCTTAAACGCAGCAAGAAACGCGGCCTTCTCGTTTCCCGGAAGCAAACCAGATTTCTTGGAGAGTTGGGCAGCTGCGCACGCGGTAAGAGCAACAAATTCATGGTGAGTAATAGCGTCGGAGTGGCTGGTGTAGGGTAGGGACAGAATCGTTGAACTAATTGATTCATATGTCTAATACATTGAACTTACCCGCCTTCGTTGCCGCTTCGTTGGTCTTGACCGTAGCCTCAAGCATGAGGCCGTAGACGCTCCCCATCACAAGGGACCGCCGGTCAACGATGCGTAGCACCTCGTAGATGGGCTTCATGAGGCCGAGAATGGCCGTGACGGAGTCCCAAAACGTCTCCTCCAAGAGGAGACCACGTATAGCCTGTCCCTCCTCCGTGTTCGCCACCGCTACACTTTTCCACTCCTCACTAATCACCATCTCCTTCAATGCCTTTTTAACCTCAAAGAAACGCTCGATCATGATCACTTGCGTTCCAAAACGAGTAGCACCAGGGCGGACAAGCGCTAGCTTGCTAAACAACTCACGGAAAAGTGTGACGGCCGAGGCACTCCCCTTGACCATCATCACAACCGGATGCACCTGGTTGAGGACCCTCTTCACCGCCTTGACCTTCCCCATATCGTGAAGCATGAGGTCCAAGACGTGGGCCGCACAATTGGTGAAGAAGACTTGCGGGTACTCGTCCTTGAGCCAGTTTGCCGCGCGCTTGTTGTTAGCCGCGTTGTCCATGACGACTTGGACAACGTGGCTGTCCCCCACCTCGCAAATCGCATGTTGGATGAGCTTCGCGAGGTACTCTCCAGTTTTCTTCGCGGTTTTGGAGTCGACGCAGTCCACAATCACCGGCGCGGTGTCGTTTTGGGCGATGACGCAAATCATGCCCCGGCTTTTGAGGCACGTCCAACCGTCCATCGTGAGGGTGCATCCGCTTCTCGGCCAACTCTCTTTGATTGGCTTGATGAGCTCCTCCGTGTCGAGCTTCAACTTGACAAGAAGTGGGCCCGCCACCTTGTATGCCGAAGGTAAGGTGTAGGCCTTCCCAAATGCGGCGACTGCATCCACAAACGCTTGCATCGCCTTAGACGAAGACGTCCTAAACGCCAGGTCGTTTTCCGCCACAGCAGCCGCCCACAGGTAGTCCAAGCGTCCGCGCTGTGTCACGTCGGCCATCTCCCGAATGTCCCGCTGCCGTGAGCGCCGGGGTAACTGCACCTCCATAGTGGACGTAGACGCTCCATTAGAGCCGTCTTCGAAGGACGAACGCTCCTCGATGGACGACGCTCGCAGCTGCTTCGCATAATCTGATTCGCAGATCGCTATGTTCTTATGCTTGGAGCTTGGAGTGCCTAAAAGGTGCTCCCCAATTCTAGTTGCGTTTGGGGTTACCGGCAAATGACAGTGAAGGCACACGCAGCTAGTGATTGTACCATCTTCCACCGTCTCTTTCCTAACGTGCAGCCAATAGTGTGACTGCGGTCGAACCATGGTGCAAGGCTTGGGGTGGCTAATTTGATAGAGAGAGTGCTGGAATAGCCTCAGTGGCTATGAGTTAAGAGGCCCTGGACAGAGCCTCTTTGTACTTCGGGAGCTGAAGTGCACTGTCGAGTTGAGGATGAGCAACTCACTTCGGAAGATTGGGCTTGGGCTGCTGTGATTGGTCGCGACTCTCGAGTGGCATGCGCTTTGCGACACACCCCGCATGCGCGAAACATTTTCGCTTCTAGCGCGAAAATTTGAAAAAATTAACGAAGCGGGTAATGTCTTCGGTTCGCGATCGCGAAATGCTGCATTTGGGGCGACTCGACCAACACTGTAGGGGTGTTCTGATTGGTCGTGCTTTGCATTAGCATTGCGCGAAAATTGCGACACCCTCTGTATGCGAGAAAACACATTGTCAGCTGGCGCGAAAACGGTCCGCATGTGGCGAAACATGTAATCCTGTCGTCAAATGTTGAAATGCGCGACTCGGTTCAGACTGAATTCGCGGCTCGAGAAAATTCAACGAGCCGCATGTCGGAAATCGACAGTGAAAACGGCAAGCAATTCCTATCCCCTTTAAAAATCCACTAATTATGAGTTACAACGATGGTTTCAAAGTTTCGGTCGAAAAAAACGGCCGTTTTTTTGCACCAGCACAAAATGACATGGTTTTACCGTTTTAAACCGTTTTTTACGACCGAAAACTACGATACCGTTTTTTACGCCGAAATTTCAAAGTTTCGGCCGTTTTTTTGCACCTTGCTTCCGTGTGCCTGTGCCCCCCTCCACCCCCTCCCCCCTTCCCCCCCTGGTTGCATGCAGGTGTGCCTGAGTTCTGGCTCACTGCCATGAAGAATAACGAGATTTTGGCTGAGCAGGTGAGAGGCCTAGATATACGAACACTGGGGAAGACACTGAGGTCTAGGGCAAGGGAGCAATCAAAGTACTATTACTTGTTTCCTGAGCATCAACCTGGGTTGAAGTGGGTCGATGTGGGGTGCGTTGGGGTGGAAATGGGTACGGCATGCATAGAAAATGGGTACTACTACTTTCTATGCATGCCGTACCCATATTTCCCCCAACCTGTTGGATTGTGTTGCTTATATCTCATTGTTTTTTTCATTGTTTCATTTGTGCCACCCATTTACCTGCCCACGTGTTTGTCTGGGTTATCAGATCACAGCAAGGGACGAGCCGGCACTGAAGCACCTCAAGGATATCCGGTGGTCGCAACTCGGGGAGGATCTCAAGGTCAGTGGGGTTCAGTGTTCTCGGGAAGTAGGGGTTCGGTGGGCAAATAGGGTTTGGGATCTCGGGTCACAGTGAAACACGAGCCTGCACTCAAGCACCTCAAGGGTATCCAGTGGTCGCAACTAGGGGAGGAGCTCAAGGTGAGTGCGGGGGGAGTTACAAAGGTCACTTCGTGCATGGGTAACGGGTTTAAGGTTTAAGTGATTGGAACCTCTTAGATTAGGCGGCAGGGTGGCAAAGGACGAGCCTGCACTCGGAGTACATCGAAGATGGTAGATGGTCACAAGCAGGGGAGAAGCTCAGGGTCAGTGCAGTGCAGAGAGTAATGACTGACACACGAGGGTTCAGGGTTTGAGAGTTCGGTGTGCCAGAGGCCAGGAGGGTTTCAGACGATTCCACATGGCTGAGGGGTTTTGTATGATGCTAGAAGGTTTTTTTTCTTATGAGTTGGCATCACCTCTTCCCACCTCTCGTCTCATTGAGGACGATCCAATCCAATCGCCGCTCATACAACAGTCTCCTCTTTTTTTTTGTGGATGGTGATGGTGGTATTGTCTCTGTTCCTTCCACCACCACTCCAGGGCTTCAAGCTGGAATTCCATTTCACCTCCAACCCGTACTTCAAGAATGAAGTGGTACGTTCACTGAACATCACCCACCCATGCTGGTCCAAAATCTATTTTAAATCACCTTCTACTTAAAGGGGAAGGAACCAAACTTCTTCTTGCCTCTCTTCTTGCTTCGTCCATTCTTACTCCCCTCTCCCAACCCCCCCACTACCCGCTCACTCTTCCCCCTCCACTTCCCCCTCTCCGTACTCTCCCCACCCACTCCTGCCACCCCCCTCCCTCTCGTCTTTCCTCACCACTCCCTCCCACCCCCTCCCACCACCCCTTCATTCAGCTCACCAAGTCTTACTTCCTTGCCCCCCTCTCGGCCTCACTTCCCCACTCCCCCACCCACTCCCCCCGATCCCCCGCACCCCCCTTCCCTCCCCCCCCTCCATTCCCAACCACCCCTTCAGCTCACCAAGTCATACTCCATGATTGACAAGGATGAGCCGAGATGTTCCTTGCCTCTCTCCCAACCTCACTCCCCCTTTCCCCTTCACCCCCCCCTCCCTCCCCCCTCCCCCCCCCCCCCGACCACCCCTGCAGCTCACCAAGTCATACTTCATGATCGATGAGGAGGAGCCGATTCTTGAGAAGGCCGAGGGGTGAGTTGCTTCGCTTTCCTTCGCTTTTCGTTGCATGTGTCAGCTCTTGGGGTTTACAGAACCTGTTCATGAGCACGTTTGTCCTTTCCCAAACAGCGATATTGTTTGTTTGTTTTGTGTGTGTGTGTGTGTGTGTGTGTGTGTGTGTGTGTGTGTGTGTGTGTGTGTGTGTGTGTGTGTGTGTGTGTGTGTGTGTGTGTGTGTGTGTGTGTGTGTGTGTGTGTGTGTGTGTGTGTGTGTGTGTGTGTGTGTGTGTGTGTGTGTGTGTGTGTGTGTGTGTGTGTGTGTGTGTGTGTGTGTGTGTGTGTGTGTGTGTGTGTGTGTGTGTGTGTGTGTGTGTGTGTGTGTGTGTGTGTGTGTGTGTGTGTGTGTGTGTGTGTGTGTGTGTGTGTGTGTGTGTGTGTGTGTGTGTGTGTGTGTGTGTGTGTGTGTGTGTGTGTGTGTGTGTGTGTGTGTGTGTGTGTGTGTGTGTGTGTGTGTGTGTGTGTGTGTGTGTGTGTGTGTGTGTGTGTGTGTGTGTGTGTGTGTGTGTGTGTGTGTGGGCGCACGCGCGCGCGTGCGTGCGTGCGCGTGCCGTGCGTGCGTGTGTGGTTGTGTGTTTTTTTTCCCTTTCTTTTCGTTTCCTTTCGCCTGCTTTCACCTGCTATACCCCTCCTTCCGTTTTGCCATTTCTGTTCCATCAGCACTAAGATTGAGTGGAACGCGGGCAAGAACCTGACGCAGAAGATCATGAAGAAGAGACCAAAGAAGGAGTGACTGTCTCATGCCTACCTACCCCTTCTGTCCCCTGTCCCTTCTCCCCCTCTTAAACCTCAATCCAACGCAGAACTGAGATCGAGTGGAACGCGGGCAAGAACCTGACGCAGAAGATCATGAAGAAGAAACCAAAGAAGGGGTGACTGTCTCATGCCTACCTACCCCTTCTGTCCCCTGTCCCTTCTCCCCCTCTTAAACCTCAATCCAACGCAGAACTGAGATCGAGTGGAACGCGGGCAAGAACCTGACGCAGAAGATCATGAAGAAGAAACCAAAGAAGGGGTGACTGTCTCATGCCTACCTACCCCTTCTGTCCCCTGTCCCTTCTCCCCCTCTTAAACCTCAATCCAACGCAGAACTGAGATCGAGTGGAACGCGGGCAAGAACCTGACGCAGAAGAGTGAAGAAGAAACCAAAGAAGGGCGCCAAGAAGAAAGGCGATCAGGCCCGTGTGGCACCATTCTCATACCTCTCAACGTCGCCTTCCTCCCCTGTCCCCTTGTCTCAGAACCGAGATCGAGTGGAACGCGGGCAAGAACCTGACGCAGAAGATAATGAAGAAGAAGCCAAAGAAGGGCGCCAAGAGCAGCAAGCCCATCACCAAGACAGAGCCCTGCGAGAGCTTCTTCAACTTCTTCAGCCCGCCTGCTGTCCCCACCGAGGACGAGGAGCTTGACGAGGAGGAGGTGAGAGACAAGGAACCTCCTGCCCCCCCTTCCATTCCGTCTCTTCTCCCCCTCCTCCCCGCCGTGTTGCGCTCAGGCCGGTTTCCCTGTAGTTTCCGGCTCACAAAGTGCTGATCTAGCGCCATCAAGCCAAGAGCAGAAAGCCCATCACCAAGACAGAGCCTTGCGAGAGCTTCCTCAACTTCTTCAGCCCGCCGGCTGTGCCCACCGAGGACGAGGAGCTGGATGAGGAAGAGGTGAGCCACACACAGGGACCCGCTTCCCCCCTCCCCCCCCCACCTGCTTTCCCCTCCTCCTCCCAACCGCACTGTTGCTTTCCGGTCGGTTTCCCCTTAGGTTCAGAACAGAAAGGGCTGATGTAGCACCAGCAAGCCAGGAGCAGCAGGAAGGGAGTGGGGCGCCAAGAGCAGCAAGCCCATGACCAAGACGGAGCCCTGCGAGAGCTCCTTCAACTTCTTCAGCCCGCCTGCCGTGCCCACTCCTTCTCTCCGCTCCTCCCCCCCGCCCTCTCCCCCTCCCTTTGCAGGAGATGATGGGGCAGGGCAGTATTGCAACGTGAAGTGACGTGGGGCGATGTGGGGTGTGTTTGCCACCTAGCCTCCCGCTTTTCTCTCTTATCATGTCGCATCTGCTGTCTCTTCTCTTCCAACAATGGCAGGCGGAGGAGCTCCAGGAGATGATGGAGCAGGACTATGATGTGGGGTGAGTTCTTTGCTTATATTACACACACACACTCACTCACACACACACACTCACTCACTCACTCACTCATTCATTCTCACACTCACCCCTCTCACACTCACTCTCACACTCACTCTCACTCACTCTCACTCACTCTCACTCACTCACTCACTCAACCACTCACTCACTCTCACACTCACTCACTCTCTTATGTCTTAACTGAACCCCCCCCTTATCTTTGATGCTTCCCGAACACCAGGTCTACTCTGAGGGAGAGGATCATTCCACATGCTGTGTCCTGGTACACTGGGGAGGCTGCTTCAAGGCTCCTTGCTTATCCTCATATTCTGAGTACACTTCCCGTTTTTGCATATCTCCCCTTTCCCCTAACACCAGGTCTACTCTGAGGGAGAAGATCATTCCACATGCTGTGTCCTGGTACACTGGGGAGGCTGCTGACCTGGAGGATTTGGATGATGACGAGGATGACGAAGATGACGAGGACGACGAGGATGATGACGAGGATGAGGATGATGATGACGAGGACGACCACCCGAGGCCTGCTCGTGGAAGGGTGCGTTTTGGGTTGTGAATTCCAGGAGCAAGTACCTGCGGTTTTTTTGTTGGATACCGTAATATTCATCTACTCAAAAGCTGCTACAATGCATGCGTTGTTCCCCGTTTTGCCCTTTCCCTTTTGTTTGGTTCTCGTGTCGTTTCTTATGTCGCGTTATTGTGTCTGACCATTGTGGCAGAAAGCAGGGACGAAGGGGATGAATGCAGCAGGAGCAGCTGGAGCAGCAGGGGAGCAACCTCCAGAGTGTAAACAACAGTAGGATGGACAGAGGCACAGCTTTTTCTTAGAGTTGCCTCTCAGAGGGGGTTTAGGTGTTAAGATGTTTGCTCCATGCTGTGTTATTTTTCTTTGTGACAGACCATTGAAGTGCTACTGTAAATGCTATCCCTAGTATATAGACCATTATTCTGAACCATATTCGGCTTCACTGTTTCCTTTGTCTAGTGTAACACTTCAGTGAGGATGCTCAGATGTACCGTAGTGTAAGGAAAATTCCTTTCCCTTACTTCGCGTCCCTGCTCAGCGCGTACACCACTGTTCCCGCCAACAGCACCCAACAGTAATTTGTTACCACTCGCGACACTCGCCACGACACTGTTCCCGCCACTTGTTCACGACGCGACCCAACCTCACGGTTCGGTTGGTAACCCGCGCTCCGGACCTCCGCCTCGACAATTCCCAACCTCGGCGCCGGGCCCGTCGCGCACCCCAATTTCCATGCATTACCGTTACCACTATAGTTTCGCTATATATTCTTCGCTCATGCCTTCGCTCATTGTACTTCTGCTTCGATAGTGCAATTCTCGCTCGCTGACTCAATTGCACTCGTAACACTTGGTATTCAGAGCCTACGATCTCTTCTCGGACCGCACCCACACCTTCGCTTCCCCACTATCTCAATTTTTGGGGGGGGTAGACGTCTCTCAGCGACACAGCACCGCCGCTCGTAGTGCTCTCTCGTAAGCACGCACGGCCACGACTGAGGCTCTCGCTGAGCTCGCCCGACACCCCCGCCATGGCCGAATTCACTCTCGCAACATTGACGCACGAGCAGCTCGACCGTCTGGTGCGCCAAGTTGAAGATTCGGCGCTCGAAATTGCGACGCTCACGGCGGAACGTGACTCCGCGCGTCAGCAATCTACGACGAACGCTCCAGCATCACAAAATGCACCTGCACAATCGTCTTAAGATAGGCTAGGAGACAAGTGTCGAGAGTAATGTTTAAGTAAGGAGGGACAAGGAGATACAAATGTCGACCTAAAGTGTTGTACCCTTTAGAGGGCAACTCACAGTAGCCTATCTAACAATATATAGAATATATAAACATTTGACACACCCCCATAGGCTAAGTGAGGGGCATCAAAACAACCAACGGAAACAAGGGGTCACAAGACCAGTCAAGAACAAGCATAAAAAACAAAGCTCAGGGTGGCGCTCAGAGTCACCACACACTCCGAGCACAAGCAAGTGGCCACAAGGCCAGTTCAAGAGTTTACTAGTATATATAGAAGCACAACAAGTAGAGCAAACAGCAAGTCTACAGCAACCGAGGGCCTACCTCAACAAGCCCCAACTGCACACAGAACCTGTGGTGGTCACCAGGCGCCAAGGCCTTGGTGAAGACGTCGGCAGTGTTGGCCTGTGAGGCCACAAAGTCCAAACGTGCCTGACCGCGTCGCTGCAACTCTCGCAGGAGGAAGTACCTCACGTCAATATGCTTCACTCTGCTCTCCAGTCGAGGCTCTCGACACAGGAGGATCATGGCTTTGTTGTCAGCGTACAAGGTCGGTGCAGAGCGAGGCCGCTCACCAAGGTCGGCGAGCAAGAAGGTCAACCAGCGAAGCTCCTGTGCCGCCATGGCACCAGCGTAGATCTCTGCCTCTGCACTGGAAGTAGCCACAGACGACGACCGTGTAGACCTCCACGACACAGCACCAGCTCCCAGACTGAAGCAGTAACCCTGAGTCGAACGCTGAGTCTCCACGTCGTCAGCGTAGGAAGAGTCGCAGTGACCAGTCAACGCCACTGGCTGAGTCCCTCCAAGCACAAGCCCCATGCCTGATGTAGTCGCCAGGTACTTCGCCACCCTCACAGCAGCTGTCCAGTGGACAGGGCGGTGTCTCCCAGTCGCAACAAAGCGAGAAAGGATGCTGAGTGGAAAGGCGAGGTCCGGTCGAGTACAAGTCATCAGGTACATGAGGCAGCCCACCAGCTCTGCGTAGGGTCCACTGGACTCAAAGGGCTCGTCAGGAAAGGGGCCCGTGAGTCTGTGGTCAACAGCAAGAGGAGTGGGCTGTGTGGTGGAGAACTGGAAGTCGAACCGCCGAAGGATCTGCTGCACCATGTGTGACTGCGTCAGTGTGATGGTGCGAGCGGCTCTGTCCCGGGTGATCTGCAGGCCAAGGTAGCGCTGCAGCTCACCCAGGTCAGTGCACTTGTGTCTCTTCTGCAGTTCGGACTTCACCTGAGCCAGGGCTGCCCTGTCTGCTGTAGCAAACACCAAGTCGTCGACATAGACAAGGATAAAGAAAGGAGTAGAACCTGCTCGAACAAACAGCGACGGGTCGGCGGAGGACGGGCTGAACCCAAGGTCACGAAGCGTGGAGCGAAGAGTGTCGTGCCACTCACGGGGCGACTGGCGGAGACCGTAGACTGGTCGCCTCAGGCTCCACTGGGTCCCAGGTGGGAAGGTGTCAGTGAAGCCAGGAGGACGGCGCAGCCAGATCTCCTCGTGTAGTCGGCCCTGGAGGAACGCAGTGGAGAAGTCGAGGGAGTGCAGCTCGTAGTCTCGCTGCGCTGCTATGTGGAGTAACACCCGAAGAGTAGTCATCTTCGGGGTCGGGGCGAAGGTCTGGAAGAAGTCAACTCCCTCACGCTGACTGAAGCCCCTAGCCACGTAGCGCGCCTTGAACACCGGCGGTGCTCCAGGCGGCCGCTTCACCTTGAAGAGCCACATGCCATCGACTATGTTCGCCCTGGGAGGGGGAACTGCGTCGACGTAGGTGCCTGTGGATCTCCAAGACGCCAACTCTGAGTCCATAGCCGCTTTCCACTGAGAGGCCCACGCCCCTGACACTGCCTCGCGGTAAGTGCGAGGAGTCGGTATGTCAAGGGCGTCGGGGTCTCCCTCAGGGGAGAGCAGCATGGCACACACAGAGGGAGAAGCGGCTGCCCAGTACTCCAGCTCAGACTCTCTGTCCTCTAGGACGTCACAGCCAAGGGCAAACCCACCCCCGACGGACAGAGGACGGTAGGGAGGAGCTGGCACCACACGGGTGGCGTAGTCAAGGTGGCTGGCGGCAGCAAACTCAGCGACAGCGGCAGTAAGAGCCGAGGCAGACGACGGAGGGAAACGAGAGTCGGTGACAAGAGTGGCGAGGACACGTGCGGCAACAGGACGAACAACGCGGTAGTAGTCAGAGATAGGAGTGGGGAGGGCTGGTAGGGAGGACGGAGGAGGAGACGGGAGAACGGACACAGGAGAAGGAGAACGACGACGAGACGAACAAAGGAGGGCAGTGTGGAGGTCAGTAACAGGGGACGAGTGACGAGCACGCGGAGGACAACGAGTGATCAGGTCGCGACGGACAGAGGGAGGAGGAGAAGACCAGACCGCCGGACGGTCGTCAGGAGGAGGCAACGGAGGAACAAACACAGGAGGAGACTGGGAGCGGACAGGAGGAGAGGAGGAAAGGCCAAGGGCCCGCAAGCCACTCACAGGTGGGAACAACCGCCGCTCCAGAGGAAGCTGCGGTGGCGGCTGCGGCCGCTGCTGCTGCGGCTGCGGCTGCTGCTGCTGCGGCTGCGGCGGCGGCTGCGGCTGCTGCTGCTGCTGCTGCTGCTGCCGTTGCTGCTCCAGCAGGTCCAGCACCCGCAGCTCCTGCCGCTCCCTCTCCAACCGCTCCTGCTCCTCACGCTCACGCCGACGGGCAGCCTGGAGACGCGTGTCGTGGCGGTGGGGAGGCGGAGTGGACTCCGCAGAACCAGGGTCTCCAGCGTCAGTCCCCTCAGACTCAGCACCCCCAGAACCAGCACCGCCAGTGCCAGGACCTCCAACTCCAGCACCCCCAGAACTAGCACCGCCAGTGCCAGCACCCCCAACTCCAGCACCCCCAGAACCAGCACCTCCAGTGCCGGCACCTCCTGCTCCAGCACCCCCAGAGCTAGCGCCACCTGCGCCAGCACCTCCAGCTCCAGCACCCCCAGAGCTAGCGTCACGTGCGCCAGCACCTCCAGCTCCAGTACCCCGCGACCGAGCACCCCCAGACCGAGCACCGCCAGCGGCTGCACCTCCAGCTCCAACACCAACCGAGTCCAAAGTAACCTGTCGCGGAAGTGCCGAAGGCTGCTGAGGGGACTGTGAGGAGGACTGCGGGGAGGGAGACGCTACCTGACGCGCGACCGAGGGTAGAGGGGTAGCGTGGGACACACCAGACGGGGCAGGACCTGGGGGGGGCGGGGGTACCGGAGGAGCGGGAGCAGGAGGAGGAGAGGGTGCGAGGAAGAGAGGGGGAGGGGGTACCGGGAGACCTCGACAGGGGTACCGGGTGTAGTAGGACACGGACTCGTCAAACCGGACGTCACGGGAGTCTAGGAACTGGTGGAGGGGAGGGTGGTAAAAGGACCAGTCAGCAGAGTCCACTGGGAAACCAAGGAAGACACATGGGACGGCGCGTGCCGAGAGCTTGTCCGCGGAGGTGTCGCGAACAAGTGCAAGGCAGCCCTAGACTCGAAAGGCCGACCCAACACCAGGGGATCCAGTCCAAAGACTGGTCGGTGAAGCCTCGGGCCGCGAGACACGCGGCTGGAGGTTCAGCTGGTGTGCGGCGTAGCGAACCGCGTGGGGCCACAGAAAATGGGGCGCACGGGCATGAATCATGGACGTGCGGGCGATGTCCATGACCAAGCCTATGCGGTGCTCAGCAACCCCATTCTGCTGTGGGGACTCTGGCAGCGTCCAGGACTGGGTGATGCCCTGTTCGCCGCAGAATCCGCCGAGAATGCCGGAGCGAAA